TCTCCATGAGAGTAACCTCGTGGAGAATGCAGTACCACGTTTGAATGCTATTGAGTATGCTTTAGCAATGAATGATGACGTGTCCAATACAATATCAGATGCCTACCAGAGAGACAAAGAGCTAACTCCCATCATAGAAAGATTGAAGCATTCTCTCCGAGATAATTTGCATGATCGCTATTATTGGGACGAATCCACTGATCGCTTGTACCTCAAGGCATCCCCCAATAACCGGTTGTGCATACCACAGTGCGGTGTCCGGTTAAAGCTCATTCAAGAACACCATGAGTGTGCAACGGCTGGCCACCCGGGTCGTGATCGAACGTACTTCCGCCTAGCACGTTTTTTCTACTGGCCCCGAATGGGTCTCGATATCAAGAGATTTGTCAAAACCTGTGATCTCTGCCAGCGAACGAAGGGAGGTCAGCCACGAACAGGGCTTCTCCAGTCACTTCCAATACCTAATAGTCCTTGGCAGGATATCTCAATGGATTTTATTGTTGGATTGCCCCTTACTTCTCGTGGCTTCGACGCAATTTACACCTTTGTGGACCGACTTACGAAATGCGTACATCTTGTTCCAACAAACTCGAAGATTGATGCTAAGGGCAGCGCTCAACTGTACATTCAAAACGTGTTTCGTCTGCACGGGCTGAGCTCAACCATTGTTTCCGATCGCGATCCACGATTCACTGCAGCTTTTTTCAAAGAAGTATTCTCTCAGCTAGGAACTAAATTGGCATTCAGCACTGCTAACCACCCTCAAACGGATGGTTTGACAGAGAGAGTTAACCGGCAAGTGGGAGATGTTCTAAGAGCATTTGTGAGCTTGAGACAGGACAATTGGGATTCGCTTCTACCACTCTGCGAGTTTGCAATAAATAGTTCACAACAGTCATCTGTAGCTAATACACCGTTCTATCTGAACTATGGGTTTGACCCTAAGTCCCCGCCCGAATTCATTCTTACGGGAGGGGAAAGGAGTGATTCGGTCGATTGGCTTCATGAGCAGGAAGCCGCACTAAGGATAGCTCGAGATGCTAAGCTCGACGCCCAGGCAAGGCAAGCTCTATACGCAGACCAGACGAGAACGCCCAGTGATTTGAAGGTTGGTGATAGCGTTCTTGTCTACAGAGACTTTCTACTGACCCCGGAAGCTCGTGGCCAGCCCTCTCGGAAGTTGCAACCCAAGTGGTTTGGTCCGTATCGTATCCAGGCTAAGATTGGAGCGAATGCTTTTCGCTTGGAACTACCCCGTGAACTTCGCTGCCATCCCGTGTTTAATGTCACTGCTCTTAAACGCTACGAAGAGAACACGATTCCTGGAAGACACCAACCCCCGCCTCCGCCCTTCACAGATCTAGATGGACACACACGCTATGTTGTCGAAGCCGTTTTGAATCACCGACACCGCAGTGGTGAGCAACACTTCCTGGTGCATTGGAAGGGTTACCCCAGCAGCGAAGCTACGTGGGAGCCCGCTGGCAACCTATGTGATGAGTCTGGTCGGAATATTAAACCGCTGCAGAACTATCTAGCCTCACAACGACAGCAGCCTTGATCTAACTGGGCTGAGCCATATGCATCTCTTACTGAGATAGTTAATAATTATGTTATAGACTGATATAGTTTTGCGTCATCTCCTTGTGAGAGTGATGAAGTTGAGTTGGATTACACTTCAATGTGGTTATGCATGTGCATGAGTGATTATTTAATATTCCCCTTTCCACAATTGCATCTCCTAACTGGATTGTGTTATCTAATAGAACCTTGGGCTTCCTATGGGGCCGGGAGAGTGTAATAGTTTTACCTTGACACTTCTTGCTTGTCTTATGGTAACACCTTGTGTTCCTACTATTCTCACTCCTGCGGTTCTCACCTTTCCTTTTGCTTTATAACCTCTGGTTTGAACATCATTCGAGGAATTCTCCAATCAATCAAGTCTATACTGTTACACCTGCCGCTGGTCTTTTAGGGAGCAGAGGTCTTGGATTATGCGGGACAATTGCAGGGATGTGTTGTCCTTACGACGGAAGCCAGATTGTGCGGGGTGAAGAAGGGGAGATATGGCCATACAAGCGGTCGTACACTATTCTCTCTAGCAGTTTGGAGACACAGGACAGGAGGGATATTGGTCGGTAATTAGACGGGTTGTTCTTGTCGCCTTTATTTTGTACACTGGAATGACAGTGGCTGACTTCCATCGTGACGGGAATGTGCCGGAGGAGAGGGAAAGGTTAAAAAGAATGGAGAGTGGGCGGGCAATTGAGTAGCTCAGTTTCCCGAGGATCTCATTGGTGATCCTATCAGCTCCGGGGGATTTGTTCAGAGGCAGTCTTGCAATATACTTGTGAACAGGCGATGAGGTGATGATCAGGGAGTGCAATGTAGTTGCTGGTGGAGGTAGGGAGGAAATAGTGGGAATAGGAGCATCGGGGTCAACCTGTAAGCCAGCACTGACGAAGTGGCGGTTCAATAAGTTACCAATGGATGCCGGAGAGGTGCTTGTTCGACCATTGGGGCCCACCATCTTCGAAGGTATGACCCGGGCGCTGGTAGGATTTCGCAGTTGACGAATGAGCACAGGGAGGGATGGGAGGCGAGGGTTTGTGGGAGATATCGTGGCACGGAGGTTGCGGATGTAACAGCGATGGCAGGATCTGGAAAGGCATTTTACATAGTTACGTTGGTGTTTGTATTTGTTGAAATTTGTAGGGGATGGGTATTTCCGGTAGATGCTGTAGAGATCACTCTTGACTTTAATAGCTGCTTTCAGTGATGCCGCCAGTCATCCAGGGGCAGGGTTTGTGGCGTGATTTCCGACGAGGAGGTGAGGATCTTCATACATGTATTATATTATTATATTATATTATTATATGTCAGTGAATGCGGAGACATCCGTGTCGATGCAGTGGGAGGCAAGGACCTGAGACCAGGGTACATCTGCGAGAAAATCATTCATGGCATTCCACATGTTATCCGTGGCACTCAGGACATCGTATCTTTGTGTAGATGGTGGGCTACGACAGGTGCTGCACTGCTGGCTGCATGCTGTGGGGGAGTACTGTAATGGTTATGTACTGCTAAGCACCCTCCGTCCCTCCACCTTGCTACTCCACCTTGCTGCAATACATGTACTACCTGTACCTGCTGTAGACTGTAGTACAACACGCTAGCGCTGGGGTCTGAGCCTCTGATTTCCACTCCCCTACCCTACCCCCCCCCCCCCTCCCCCCCCTCCCCCCCCCCCGGCCCCCTCACCTCTCTCGCCCACATCCACTCGTGCTACACAGTAGGTATATACTGTTCAAAACCAGATAGTCGTATGACCTATCAGTACTAAAGTAGTATAACTATAAGCCCCTGGGTTTATCATGCTCTATACAGTCATGTATAAAGACTACCTGTTCAAAACGCATGCGCGTATGACTATGAATGATTGTTTGAGCAGGAAGTGACACCAGACTCAGTCCAGAGTTTCAAGTGATCGCATTGACTCTATGATTGAGCTATCCCCAGTGTACGTAATCATGCAATGACTACATTTGTCACTTGTGTGAGCACTGAGCTACCTGATGTCGAAATGAGTCGGATGACTGATGTCAGTGATGAATGATAGAACCGATCGGATACCGGCGATAGCACCCTTTTATGTACCATACATGTACACGTGTAACTGTAAGTACATGTACACGTGTAGCATGGTGTTGGTGTATGTAGTATGTGGCATGTGCATGTCGGTTTATGTACAATCATGTAACTGCATAATCATTAATTTTTGTTCGAATCGTATGGATCAGCTCAGCCTCAGCTCATGCTAAAGTAGTCGCTCCGTGCAGCTCTACTTGGGCTCGGCTGAGCTGGAGTAGATTACATGCTTGGCACCATGCATCTGACTGTGACATCCTCGTTTTTGTTGTTGATAACTAATAGTAATAGTACAACTCTATGATATAGTAATAGTAATACTTACTTTACTTACTTAGTAAGTAACTACAGTACATGTAGCATGCATCATGGCATGAGCCGAGCTATTCATATTCACAACAGATCTACACTCGAGAGTACTCGCAGAATCTACGACTCTACGAGCAGATCGTCTCACTATTGTATATACCAAGAGTACAATAACCAAAAGGTTTATGTACTCTGTAACTCAGTACTACTACTGTACTACTAGTACAGTGCGTATCGGTTATAGCGTGGTCGTGTAAAAGCTGCTAACAAGAATGACCTCTCATATTTTCATAATCATAACATGGGTTTCAAGTGAACATTTATTCTTACAAGCAATGTTATCGCATTGTAGAATATATCTGTCCTAAGAATGGACTTTGTGTAGCAGAACATACCACATTAGTACCAATGCAGTTCTGATCCGACTCGCATTGCATCGTAGTGCTGCAGGTTCAACTGTTGTTGTCATGTACATGTATCTCATGCTGCATAGGCACATGGTAAGCGTACAGGACTATGAACACTCGCATGCACAGCAGCGATACGCAACTCGTTGTACATGTATGTATGATGAGCATCCTGTATCTGCGCACATGTATCTGATATGTCACACTTGACTTATCGTGTGTTAAAGAAATATCGGAAAATTATTTTAATAAGAATAGAAAGTCGTTTTTCAAACACCCACGCTATAACCATGATAACTACTGAGTGAGTGAGTCTGTACAGCACTGTCGACATGTCGTCTACACTACAGGCGCTAGGCTGTCATGTCAGTGACTGACGATTCATATCATTGCAGCCACATGCCCACATATCCTTGTCCTTGATCTGAATGGCATGATGTAGCCTATCCTATAGTCAGTCTGGTATTAGTAGGCTATTCGCTGCATGTATCACTGCATGTATCACCATGATCACCATTCACCAAGCCCCAAAAAGGAGTCGTACCACAACCAATGACAGTCCATGCAGCAGAGCCTATGCTCACTCGTGTGTGGCGAGATCTGCATTATGCGCATGGCCATGAGTGAGTCTGTGCGTGAGATCGATGTGTGTGCGCTACTCGTTCAGAAATAGCCACCTCGACTACATTTCCCGTGAATGCGTTTTCGGTTCAGCTGTTTGTATGTAGCGATTAGAGGTCGGTGTGCTCAGCCTGTGGATATTAGATCCGCAAAGACCAAGAGGACACCGCCAAATATCTAGCAAGAATTGTCGAGGATCGCTGCGCAACCTCAGGTAGGTGAATAGCAACGTCCTCTTTGATAAACGTAAAAATTCGTATTTCATTGTGTGAAAAATGGTGAGGCTGCTCTGCTACAGCCTTCACTGGCTACAGGTCCGCTAACTTGCTAAGGACAAGTTGTAGTTTCATGTGCGTTCTGTTGGTGAGCGCACCCATCCGCGTATTGTTTACTGGGTTCTTGACCTGATTTCTCCCTACTGCTGGTCATTCTCGGCAGCACTGACGGCCATGGCCAGAGTTGTAGGCAGTGCTGCATTATTCTGTACATTTCCAACTCTCCAAATCCTGTGTTGCAATTGTTATGCATGTACGCAATTCTTTGCCTCATTGCGCATGGTGTAGTTGGCGATCGGGCAGCGCGAAATTACAACAAAAGGGCGAAGGTTTGATGCCTGGGAAAATAATACTCGTGTATTCTTTGCTTTGCTCTGCGTATAACAAGGATGTGAATGTTGGTGGATATTTTAATGACAGGTTTATGCCACATGTCCCGAGTGGGTATTTAAAAATTCGTCTTTAAGTTTCGCTTTGCATCGAATGGACATGTTTCTGTTGAATTATCCCAGGCTTGGGCGAGCTGTAAAGCCGATAACCCTGACCATCATCCAGGGGTACTACTCTACGTGTATGCTTATGGCTCTTCAGGAATTGATGAGCACAAATTAACCATAATTATTTGAAACCTGGAAGGGAAAGTTATTAGTAACAGGTAGACTGTGCAAAAATGTTTGGGATATTGGCTGAGCCCCAAATTGTTTTTTTACCCTCATCATTAATTTTGTATTTGAACTCTGTACAATACCCAGAGTGTCTGGGCAATGTCGAATGTTCAATGTGGATGTGAATCACATGATGTATTTGCATCAACAATGCACACCAGAGTCCTTATTTTGTGTGTCCCTTGCCCTGTAAAGCACTGAATACTCCGAGCGGCCTGGTTTGATTGAAATCTTTCCTATGCGGCCCTGTAATGTTGAACACCATTGGCAATTCAACAACATGCTACTCCCTTCTCGTTATGAAGCCCAAACTGAGAAATGACATCTGGACTATTCTCTGCATATGTCTGCAGATGTACATGCGGCGTTTGCTGATGTTGGTGTGTTGCAATGTTTATGTTGTTGTGTGTACAGTGAGGAACTCTGTTGGCGGCTGATAAGCAACGTTCACGAGAGAGTGTGCTCCTGAGACACCGGAGTCATGGGGAACCAGACAAGTAGCGTGGCGGTAGATCGTCTGCCCGACCTGTGGGTGGAGGGTGGATTCACAGACTCGCCGAAGGCTCCTCGCAGTACATCATTCTCCGGAGCAGTGGCAAACAATGTGCGGGAGACCAGCCTGGCAAGTCGGCCATCAAGCACGACCAGCGGGATAAGCTCTTCGACAGCCAGCACAGGCGTTTCAAGCATGAACTCCTATGATGCTGATGATGATGAGGACTATTCCAGTGATACTCTATCAGCTGCGGGGGCCGGTTCTAAACCACCATCTGGTATCGTGTCAATAAACAGTGAAAGCCAGACAGCGACATTCCGCCATTTCAGCTCACCGGCTGATATGCAAAACTCTCGCGAAGAACTCCGCCGCCGCCGCTCTAATCGCAAATCTCAGCTATCGTTGAGTGACGACGGCGACGGCAAGATGGAGTTAAAGCGACGTGTCTCCTTTCAGCAGAGAATGCGTTACGACTTGGTGTTGGATCGTACTGCTGGTCTTAATAGTATGGACAAGGAAGGACGACCGGGAAAACTGACACTCATCACAACTAGCCACTTTGATCAGCCGGATCAGCAAGATGACAAAAGTCGTCTACTAGACTGCCCGACCGAGATCTACCTGGAAGATGTCACCGAACGTGTGGAGAAATACAACAAGGATGTTGGCCGTGAGCGCATCTGGGTGACGGCCGATGGAACGCAGCTAGAGGGCTACATAGAAGTGAAACTGAACCTGCAACATGCCATTCATGTCATCCGCACACCAACCGCTAGTCATAATCTCCTGGATGGCGTTGATCACAAGCGCGCTTCATTGCAACTTGTACGTCTAGATGCTGGTACCAAGACACTGCTGGTCAGCTCCGACACAACCACTGGCGAGCTTATCGAACAGCTGGTGACTGTATATCGTGTGGTAGAGGACCCGGAGATGTTTGCGCTGTTTGAATGTGACTCGGCTTTCCCGGCAAATAGTCGACGACTGGATGGCGAAGAGCGTCCACTTCTGCTCAGCCTGATTTGGGGTCCAAACAATTCCCGTTCCCTGGTCTTGCAAGAGGCACATCCCGGTGGAGCAGCGCTTAGTCGTTCACACGACTGGAGAGAAGTTGGTGCGGCTGCACTTGCTGCCTCACCCGCCTCCAATCCTCCATCAGTGCCCACAACTCCCGAAGCGGAAACTCCCACTCCCAGCTTTGGCTCTGCAACGTCATCTTCGTCGGCTTCTTCAGCTTCTTCGGCATCGTCTTCTAGCTCCCCTGCTTCCAAAGAGAACAGGCGGTCTCGGCGAATATCTCGGACGGGCAAGACAATCAACTGGTTGGCTTTCTCCATACCCGAACTCAACAACTTCCTCAGCATCTTGGAATTTGAAGAAGAACGTCAGATCAAGAAGATCGAGTCGCAGTATGGCAAATATAAGGGTACGTTGATTGAGTTGTTGATGCATAAGCAACCAAGCGTGCCCACCGAGCCATTCCAGACGGAAATTTGATTCCGACCTGGTGAACTTGAGCGTTGAAACCAAGCAGATTGTTTTGACAGATTGTTTCGTTGCTTGAGCCTTTCAGGTTGCATTCTCGAATCTGTTCTATCCTTGATGTGGTACTTTCTGCAGCATTTTGACGAGAAGTGGTTTGTGTGTTCGTTTTTTGTACTTTATGGCCCGGCTTCAGACATTCAGCCTTCACTATCTATTTTTCCGGATGTACATAGTAGCAATTTTCAATACATCGTGTGAACTTTTAAATCTTTATCCCTCCTCCTCCTCTATATCAGACAGACCTGCACAGTGGCATTCAACAGCCAATGCCTGCTGTACACGTGCACAATGGTTTGCAATAAACTGTGTGTAGATGTCTGTCTATCTTTTACTTCGAAATGCGCACGGTTGTAAATTTGTACTTAGTCAGCGGGGTTTTGATTTGTTCCTTCTATGTATACGTACGGGGACGATTTCATTAACTCTATTTCCACCTGCATGTCACCTGTACGTATTCAGTAGCATTTCCATTGCTCATTGATTGTCAGTTCTGCTGACCCAGGCTAATCTCTAAAGGAAGAGTAGCATGTGTTTGACCGTGACTGTGGGTTGGTGGTGACACAGCGTCACCTTTTCTCTAGTCGTGCACTGGTAGGAAGCTTGCATGGTTATGACCCCTCTTTCTCATTGGTTTCTGGAAACATAGGAGCATTCAGAAATGACCCGGTATGTATGCTAGTTAGTACTCCAACTCCTGTAGATAGCCTGGTGTGTAGTACATGTACATGTATGTGCTTGAGCAACTCCCAAACGCCTAGACTGAAGCTACAAATTATCCGGCAACGTTCTCGCTATAGATGCAGTGGCCGCCATCGCTGTCATTTCCGTCTACAGCGAGGAGTGGGACCGTAATCTTGTTGAGCTTCCCCGCTGAATCGGGTACTAACAAACACAATTCTCTTAACACATTTTTAAAACTTGTGGCTTACCAAAAGCTATAATTATCAAGGATGAGAGGCTTATTTATTATTTATTTCTGCACCTCGTAGCAAGTCAAGACAGCCCGCAACTGAATTGCATGAGGAGAGGGTGATGAGACCACCCACGGAAGTAGAGAAAAAGAAAGAAAAAACTTGAAGCACGTACACAAAAGGGGAGTGATTAGCAAGTTACAAAGCAATCGGATGCCCAGCGAGCTATGCAGCGGAAGTGGTGACTGCGATTTTGTTAAGATACTGAATCATCAATTGTAGGTATGCTTGACACTTTACATACAACCGGTGAAGGGAGGAAATACTCGACAGAGAGCAAAACAATCCAGTAATCTAACACCTGTGTGATGGTAACCGGCGATTTCGCTACCATCAAAAGGCATAGCAATGGCAGTAGCTGGAAGGATACTGCCGAAGAAATCTCAAATCTTGTTTGTCATAACATGCAGCACTAGAGTCCTAGTCTTCAGAAGCCTAGCCAGGACTTATCCTAAAATTCATCTTCAGGTGCTCCAATCTGGCAGGTTCAGATCAGTGTGGAAAAAGGAAAGACGTGTTGCGATGTGTGGGTCGACCAGCACGACTAACGGCTTGCAGGCTCCACCAGCCAAAATACACATTCAGTTTAATGGTGTTGTTCCACTATACAATAATGTACACAATGTAGTCAGTGAGATCCAGGTAAAGCTCTGTTTGTGACTACAAGTACAAGTACCGAACAAGAAGGATAAAGTGTTTACATGCGGTGGTCAAAAAAACACAATGGCTATAGCATAATAGCATTGCGCTATGGTGTATAGCATAATAGCATTGCGCTATGGTGTATAGAATATAAGATGAAACATACATGTACATGACAGCAACTTCTAAGCCGCAAGCAAATAGCGTTAAAGTGAAAGCAGGCAAAATGCAATAAGTGAAAAAGAAAGAACAGAATCTCATCACATCCATGCGGATATCTTATCTGTTACAAGGCAAATGACGCTTTAGAAATCTCCCAAATCTGTGAGAGTTCAAATGCAAGTCCTGTCTCTGTTCTTACCACTAAATGCTCTCTCTCTCTCACACACACACTCCCACTCTCTCTCTCTCTCTGTCTCTCTCTCTGTCTCTGTCTCTGTCTCTGTCTCTGTCTCTCTCTCTCTCTCTCTCTCTCTCTCTCTCTCTCTCTCTCTCACACACACACACACACGCGCGCACACACGCACGTACGCACACACCACACACACACACACACACACACACACACACACACACACACACACACACACACACACACACACACACACACACACACACACACACACACACACACACACACCTGCATGTGCACCCGTGCAGTAAAGTATTGATTCACAATGCAGGCAAGCATGCAAGCACATACGCATGTTACATGTACATTGACATGCATGTACACTCAAAGCGGCACATACAGATGTTGTGAGAATGGACGTACGGACATACAGATGTTGTGAGAACGGACGTACGGAGTGGAAGAAGTACATGATATCAAGCAAAAAACACTAAGAAATAATCGTGTACTTGTATGTACACAGATACAGGCCGAACGAACACAGATCTGTCAGCATCCACAGCTCTCTGCTATCTTCTACTTTGCGGCTGCTTCCTTGTGGTGAGCTTCAGCCAAACCAGCGGTTGTTGGACTTGCAGGTGACATGCGTGCATACCAGCGCTGTGCCGCACCCGGTGGCAGTGGAGAGCCTATGCCAGCCACATCCAGCGTGGCTGGTCGCAGTTCGGTCAGCTCTGGCGAATTGCTGGCAGCCATGCGTGGTGATATGCACGACAGCTTGGGCCCAGTGCCCATCTTGGATGAGGCAGCGAGGAGCTCCGTGACCGCCGCACCAGTTAGCAGCTTTGTTATGGGTTGATCATTGATCTACAGGTAAGATTAAACAGCACAGACCCCAGCAAACATCACTTGTAACAGTTGTACAATTGCTGTACTCATAATTATGGTTGTGTAGATACCCCTTTCCTCAACACAACAGACATTGCTGTTTTGAACCAGTAAAGTATAATTATAGCAAACAATATGAATAAGTAGCCCCCTCCCCCCTTATAACATGACATTGTACTATTGTTTTACCCCCCCCCCTCCCCCCTGCCCCCCCCCCCCGCCCCACACACATACAAGTAGAGTAATGATTCATCCATTGTAAGAGGATCATGCTGCCTAGTTCATCAGGTGATCAGCTCTGACCTTCATGATGACATCGCCAGCTTGCAGACGATCGCCATGTTTCTTCTGAGCCACTCCGCCTTGCGTTACAGCATTCACGAAGCACGCCATCTCAATCTCAAGGCCATAGTCTAGACAGGAAACAGGAGCGGAATAAGACAAAACAGAACTTCACATGACTACAAGTCAATCCACATACGCCACACGCCGTAGAGTTGTCCAAGCTCACAATACATAAAAAGAAAAGAGTTGAGCAGACCTCCCGGAAGTATCCTAGCAAAGTCTGCTTGTCACTGGAGCCTAGATGTACACAGCAGGCATCAGAAGGTCATGGGAGCAGGCATCAGAACAGAAGGTCATGAGAGCAGGCAATGATGCTGAATCAATCAAAGCGGGCAAATTACCTTTAGTGTTGAATGGCAAGGTTAACTCGTGCTCTTCCATCAGGGTCTGAACACCAGCATACCGGCACACACACACACACACACACACACGCACACACGCACACACGCACACACACACACACACACACACACACACACACACATACACACACACATACACACACACACACACACACACACACACACACACACATACACACATACAATGTCATACCAATGGTGTATACTAAGTACATGCTCAACATTACTACTACGGTAGGTGATACATGTCTTGAAACAAACTGCAATGCCAAGCTGAAATCATGACAAGTCAAGCTGCAGCTACACAGATAACAATATAGAACAAATAGTCAAGTGCCGAGATTGGAAAACAAGAAGAGAGGAGATTGTATAACAGTGGAGGGAGGGAAAATGAGACATAACATACTTTCTCAGAATAGACTAGGAAGACATGCCTGTATCAGTGCATGCCTCCTGCCCCCCCCCCCCCCATGGTGTGTATGTACCAGTAACAAACAATAGGACAGAGAAAGTGTTTTTACTCCGAGTTTCACGCACTAAGCGATCATCAGAACCGCTTAGTGCGTGAATCTCGGAGTAAAAGCACTTTCTCTGTCCTCCTATTGCTTGAACCAGCTCTCTTGGACAGCCTGGAACCTCTCTGTTTTTATAACAGTAACATGTATGCTTGTTTTCATGTCTGGACAGTCTGGTGAAGTAACAACATAACCGAATAGACACAGAGAAAAATGAATCATAGTAGACAATGACACTGGAGGTGTGTGATGCTCACCTTGAAATCTAGAGACTCCTCAAACTGTACACACACACACATACACATGCACATACGTGCACACACACACACACACACACACACACACACACACACACACATATACACCGGCACATACACACATGTACACATACATACATACGCACACATAGGAAACGATTGTCAGCACAACAGGTGTCGATGTTGATGAAAGGCGGCACCACAACAGCCGTGTCAGCACACGGCATTGTAAAGTGTACAAAGTCCGCCTATCTAGTATCTACACTACAGCTGTCCACACTGTGATGAAGTCTCATCTCATGCATAGAAGTAATGCATACTACACTCGGCACCCTACTGTAACTGTTAGTGCAAACACTACACTGATGATGCCTGCAGTAGAGACTGATGATGCCTGCAGTAGAGACTGATGATGCCTGCAGTAGAGACTGATGATGCCTGCAGTAGAGACTGATGATGCCTGCAGTAGAGACTGATGATGCCTGCAGTAGAGACTGATGATGCCTGCAGTAGAGACTGATGATGCCTGCAGTAGAGACTGATGATGCCTGCAGTAGAGACTGATGATGCCTGCAGTAGAGACTGATGATGCCTGCAGTAGAGACTGATGATGCCTGCAGTAGAGACTGATGATGCCTGCAGTAGAGACTGATGATGCCTGCAGTAGAGACTGATGATGCCTGCAGTAGAGACTGATGATGCCTGCAGTAGAGACTGATGATGCCTGCAGTAGAGACTGATGATGCCTGCAGTAGAGACTGATGATGCCTGCAGTAGAGACTGATGATGCCTGCAGTAGAGACTGATGATGCCTGCAGTAGAGACTGATGATGCCTGCAGTAGAGACTGATGATGCCTGCAGTAGAGACTGATGATGCCTGCAGTAGAGACTGATGATGCCTGCAGTAGAGACTGATGATGCCTGCAGTAGAGACTGATGATGCCTGCAGTAGAGACTGATGATGCCTGCAGTAGAGACTGATGATGCCTGCAGTAGAGACTGATGATGCCTGCAGTAGAGACTGATGATGCCTGCAGTAGAGACTGATGATGCCTGCAGTAGAGACTGATGATGCCTGCAGTAGAGACTGATGATGCCTGCAGTAGAGACTGATGATGCCTGCAGTAGAGACTGATGATGCCTGCAGTAGAGACTGATGATGCCTGCAGTAGAGACTGATGATGCCTGCAGTAGAGACTGATGATGCCTGCAGTAGAGACTGATGATGCCTGCAGTAGAGACTGATGATGCCTGCAGTAGAGACTGATGATGCCTGCAGTAGAGACTGATGATGCCTGCAGTAGAGACTGATGATGCCTGCAGTAGAGACTGATGATGCCTGCAGTAGAGACTGATGATGCCTGCAGTAGAGACTGATGATGCCTGCAGTAGAGACTGATGATGCCTGCAGTAGAGACTGATGATGCCTGCAGTAGAGACTGATGATGCCTGCAGTAGAGACTGATGATGCCTGCAGTAGAGACTGATGACTAGGAGGCGCTGTGATCCTCAGAGAGCAAGTTCCTGCCTATAACAGAAGCCTGTGGAGATACATGAGAACACAGCCCCGCGGCCGCATTACCTACTCCTATTTTTCTATCACTGATCCGTGGTCAACCAGCATTACTGTATAAAATAGTGCAGCAGCGTTGGCAATGGCAGCAGTGCAGCTAAACACTCTGTCACTATCGAAGAAGATTGCTCACAGATTCTTCAGACCCTCCTTCTCCAGCTTGTGTCTGGCTGCCGACATGTGGCACACGAGTGCGAGGAGCAGGACTATCAACCTAGGGATGTAAACACAATACACACAATGCATACATGTTTAAAACAGGTCCGTCATTGAGACTGCATGCATAGCACTAGTGTGGTGTGTGTCATTACACTACTGCCATATCTACAGTACTGTCGGGCGCCGAAGAACGGGGGGGGGGGGGGGGGGGGGCAGGGTTCTAGCCTAGCCCGTTCTCATTTTTAGCGAACACAGCAGTTTCGTTCTTATTCGATGGTACAGTCATACATGCACATTTAAAAAGTTATACGACTGAGTGTACATTATAATTATAGTGTACAGTACGGTTTCCGTTCTCATCTACAAAAATCCAGCCTAGGCCGTTCTTAAAACTTGGTGAAATTCTAGCCTGGCCGTTCTTGCGCGCCCGGCAGTGCTGTAGTGCCAACACTGTGCTGCTACTTGTACCTTTGTCAGTACTGACTACCGCTTCCAACTACCCACACTACATCTCTCTACTGACTACCGCTTCCAACTACCCACTCTACATCTCTCTAGTCTCTAGCTCTCTAGCTCAATCTAATACTGTCAACCTTGTGAATAACAGTCTCGGATATAACAACAATTACCAACCACACAACAAGCCGACCTGTTTGGGAGCTATTACGCGTTGTATTTCCAGGAGATAGGCAACAATTGCCGTATGCAATATGCAATATTCTGGTCCAATGCCAGAGCTAGTATTGCAAGCACCGCTGTGCGTTAGTATGGCCAATGCCGACACTAACTGGGGCAACAATTGCCCGGCGAGAATTCAGACGTGTCAATACACGAGCATGCAGTAGGGATACACTTGTGGGCGAATGTAGGCGCACTTGGCTCAATGCCGGCCTGCCCACGATCCCTACTGTTGAATTCAGATGTGTCAATACACGAGCATGCAGTAGGGATGCACTTGTGGGCGAATGTAGGCGCACTTGGCTCAATGCCGGCCTGACCCACGATCCCTACTGTTGAATTCAGATGTGTCAATACACGAGCATGCAGTAGGGATGCACTTGTGGGCGAATGTAGGCGCACTTGGCTCAATGCCGGCCTGACCCACGATCCCTACTGTTGAATTCAGATGTGTCAATACACGAGCATGCAGTAGGGATGCACTTGTGGGCGAATGTAGGCGCACTTGGCTCAATGCCGGCCTGACCCACGATCCCTACTGTTCTCCCTTACGGGATGGCTTAAAGGATGCACTTGTGAGCGAATATAGGCGCACTTGGCTCAATGCCGGCCTGACTCACGATCCTTACTGTTCTCCCTTTCGGGATGGTTTCGAATGGAGTGCTAGTGAGAGATGATGGGGTGGGTGGTGGTGATCAGAAACTGGCCGCGATAGTCAAACAATTTGACCGTCAGCACAGCAAAGCGAAGAGCAAGAAACAACAGCATGGCGAATTGGAGTAATGCGCATGCTCCGCACAGTCCCGTGCGGAAACGCGGGAATTCGGAGTGCGTGCATGTTATGCATGTACAAGTGTTGCTTATGGCAAGGATGTTGGTGTGTTGCTAACTCCACTTACCGTGCCATGCACGGAAACTTATATTTACCAACCACACAACAAGCCGACCTGTTTGGGAGCTATTACGCGTTGTATTTCCAGGAGATAGGCAACAATTGCCGTATGCAATATGCAATATTCTGGTCCAATGCCAGAGCTAGTATTGCAAGCACCGCTGTGCGTTAGTATGGCCAATGCCGACACTAACTGGGGCAACAATTGCCCGGCGAGAATTCAGACGTGTCAATACACGAGCATGCAGTAGGGATACACTTGTGGGCGAATGTAGGCGCACTTGGCTCAATGCCGGCCTGCCCACGATCCCTACTGTTGAATTCAGATGTGTCAATACACGAGCATGCAGTAGGGATGCACTTGTGGGCGAATGTAGGCGCACTTGGCTCAATGCCGGCCTGACCCACGATCCCTACTGTTGAATTCAGATGTGTCAATACACGAGCATGCAGTAGGGATGCACTTGTGGGCGAATGTAGGCGCACTTGGCTCAATGCCGGCCTGACCCACGATCCCTACTGTTGAATTCAGATGTGTCAATACACGAGCATGCAGTAGGGATGCACTTGTGGGCGAATGTAGGCGCACTTGGCTCAATGCCGGCCTGACCCACGATCCCTACTGTTCTCCCTTACGGGATGGCTTAAAGGATGCACTTGTGAGCGAATATAGGCGCACTTGGCTCAATGCCGGCCTGACTCGCGATCCTTACTGTTCTCCCAAAAATACAACATGACCCAAACAGGATTTATCGGCATTACTATTTACAGCAATAGATGCGAGCGCCGTCCAATGCGGCTGCCCATTAGCATAGTGGGCAATGCGCTCTACGTACCAGATCTGGAACAACGCTGCTGGCACTGATCAGTCCCTGGTTGTAGCTTGCCCTGGCGCGGGGGCGACGAGCGTCCGGAGCGCTGCAGCGAAGCGTATGTCGTGCTGGAGCTGTCCGCCAGGCCCTGGCGGATGAAGTACATGGTTGCGTCGTCAACTGCTGAAGGGTGAACTGCGCTGGTTGTGTCGGCACTGCGTCGGCAGTTGGGCTGCGAGTCCAGAAGCGTCGACAACCTGACCCAAACAGGATTTATCTACATTACTATTACACTACAATTGATGCGAGTGCCGTCCAATGCGGCTGCCCATTAGCATAGTGGGCAATGCGCTCAACGTACCGGATATGGAACAATGCTGCTGGCACTGATCAGTCACTGGGTATGGCTTGCCCTAGTGCGGGGTGACAAGCGTTCGGAGCGCTGCAGCGAAGCGTATGTTGTGCTGGAGCTGCCCGCCAGGCCCTGGCGGATGAGGTCCATGGTTGCGTCATCAACTGCTGAAGGGTGGACTGCGCTGGTTGTGCCGGCACCGCTTTGGCAGTTGGGCTGCAAGTCCAGACGCGCTGACAACCGGACCCAGACAGGATTTATCTGCATTACTATTACACTGCAATTTATGTGAGTGCCGTCCAATGCGGCTGCCCATTAGCATAGTGGGCGATGTGCTCGAAGTACAGGATCTGGAACAATGCTGCCGGCACTGATCAGTCCCTGAGGTTGGCTTGCCCTGGCGCAGGGCGACAAGCGTTCGGAGTGCTGCGGCGAAGCGCATGCCATGCTGGAGCTGTCCGCCAGGCCCTGGCGGATGAGGTCCATGGTTGCGTCGTCAACTGCGGGAGGGTGGACTGCGCTGGTTGTGTCGGCACCACTTCGGCAGTTGGGATGCGAGTCCGGCAGCGCTGACAACCTGACCCAAACAGGATTTATCTGCATTACTATTACACTGCAATTGATGTGAGTGCCGTCCAATGCGGCTAGCCATTAGCACAGTGGGCAATGCACTCAAAGTACAGGATCTGGAACAATACTGCCGGCACTGATCAGTCCCTGAGTGTGGCTTGCCCTGGCGCAGGGCGACAAGTGTTCGGAGCGCGGCAGCGAAGCGCAAGTTATGCTGGAACTGGCCGCCAGGCCCTGGCGGATGAGGTCCATGGTTGCGTCGTCAACTGCTGGAGGGTGGACTGTGCAGGGTGTGTCAGCACTGCGTCGGTAGATGGGCTGAGAGTCCGGAAGCGCTGTACTTGAAGACGAGTAAGAGACTTAGCAGGATCATTGCAGAGTCGCCGTTGGGCTGAGAGTCCACATCAGCCGGTCTGTTGAACGGAAGAGGGAGGATCTAAGGCCAAATGGTGGTGCCTTATCTACATGGTACGAACCTTCCCAAAAATGCCAAGCCGGGGCCAGACATGAGGGGAAACAGGCCAAAGCCGCCAAGCATACTTCGTGTCAGCTTTAGAGAGGAGAGCTCAGCATCAGGGACCTAAATTTCCGAGCCATCTTCAAGATTATGGGCTGGTGCGAAAACAGCTCCGGGGGCCCTGGAGGGGTGTGCTGCTGCGTAAGTCGCACAATACGTGCTCCATGCGTCGCGAACCTCCTCCCGACTAAAGTCTCCCAGGCCAGGGATGGGGCTGCAGTTGCCTCGGCTAGGTTCTGCTCCGCTGCCGGAGCGGCCAAGTCCTCGCGTACGGTAGTCTGGAGCCAACTTCAACTCGAGCAGGTGAGTCCGCGGAGTAGGTTTTGTTCCTGTCGGGTCTAAATAATTGCGGGATGCCAGTGCGTTTCGCAGCTCAGCAGAGCGCATTTTGGCTGGACATCGCTCACTGACAGAGACATGGTTGATCGGATATTGATCAGAAACTGGCCGCGATTGTCAAACAATTTGACCGTCAAGGCAGCAAAGCAAAGAGCGTTATGGCTGGACATCGCTCGCTGACAGAGACATGGTTGATCGGATATTGATCAGAAACTGGCCGCGATTGTCAAACAATTTGACCGTCACTGCGTCAGCGCAGCAAAGCAAACGGAGCGTTTTGGCTGGACATCGCTCACTGATAGAGACATGGTTGATCGGATATTGATCAGAAACTGGCCGCGATTGTCAAACAATTTGACCGTCACTGCGTCAGCGCAGCAAAGCAAACGGAGCGTTTTGGCTGGACATCGCTCACTGACAGAGACATGGTTGATCGGATATTGATCAGAAACTGGCCGCGATAGTCAAACAATTTGACCGTCAGCGCAGCAAAGCAAAGAGCGTTTTGACTGGACATCGCTCACTGACAGAGACATGGTTGATCGGATATTGATCAGAAACTGGCCGCGATAGTCAAACAATTTGACCGTCAGCACAGCAAAGCGAAGAGCAAGAAACAACAGCATGGCGAATTGGAGTAATGCGCATGCTCCGCACAGTCCCGTGCGGAAACGCGGGAATTCGGAGTGCGTGCATGTTATGCATGTACAAGTGTTGCTTATGGCAAGGATGTTGGTGTGTTGCTAACTCCACTTACCGTGCCATGCACGGAAACTTATATCTCGCAAATACCACCACTATCTTCAGACCAAGTCACTGCTTGACGGCATTACTTTTTACCTCGCGAATAGCGACAACTAGAACCAATCAACTGCATATCATGGACTGCCGCAGAATTCACAGAATGACACCAAATCATACAAATTGACCCCCAAAGGCACAAAATTGACACCCAAACTCCCGGCAGCCTGATTGGCAGCAGAACTCACCGATTGACATGACTGATAGCCAGACGACTGATATCCAGCACTGCTGCTTCCAGCCGTTCCTGTTCCTCGGCCCCCTGCCCGTGAGTCGTGGAAGTAACGGCGACGTGTACGCACCGTTTTTGTGCGAGTTATCTTTGAACTGGAGATCAGAACCTCATTCAGCTTAGTTTCAGCTTCTTCGTGTGCCATAGCCAGCTGTGTGAGATGCCAATCAGATATATAAGTACACACAACCGCAGCATACATAAATCCAGTGTAGGGAATTGCTTACATTCTATTACTGGAAGTAGTTCAGAGGATGGCCGCAATAGTGAAAAAGCATGTGTGTGTGTGTGTGTGTGTGTGTGTGTGTGTGTGTGTGTGTGTGTGTGTGTGTGTGTGTGTGTGTGTGTGTGTGTGTGTGTGTGTGTGTGTGTGTGTGTGTGTGTGTGTGTGTGTGTGTGTGTGTGTGTGTGTGTGTGTGTGTGTGTGTGTGTGTGTGTGTGTGTGTGTGTGTGTGTGTGTGTGTGTGTGTGTGTGTGTGTGTGTGTGTGTGTGTGTGTGTGTGTGTGTGTGTGTGTGTGTGTGTGTGTGTGTGTGTGTGTGTGTGTGTGTGTGTGTGTGTGTGTGTGTGTGTGTGTGTGTGTGTGTGTGTGTGTGTGTGTGTGTGTGTGTGTGTGTGTGTGTGTGTGTGTGTGTGTGTGTGTGTGATCTCAGCCTCAGGTATGTTTACTACTTCTAAAATGAAATAGGCAAACATGCAGACAAACATGCAGACAAACATGCAGACAAACATGCAGAGGTACCCAAACATGCAGAGGTACCCAAACATGCAGAGGTACCCAAACATGCAGAGGTACCCAAACATGCAGAGGTACCCAAACATGCAGAGGTACCCAAACATGCAGAGGTACCCAAACATGCAGAGGTACCCAAACATGCAGAGGTACCCAAACATGCAGAGGTACCCAAACATGCAGAGGTACCCAAACATGCAGAGGTACCCACAACAGGACACATGTCTTGCTTGAACTATTACAGATACTCACAACCCTCTGGTCGCTCCGCAGTCTGGCAATTGTCGACCTGTATCCTTTGATTCGGCTCTTCAGTACGTCCGGACTACTGCTGTTGTCTTCGTCTTCGTCATCGGATAGTTCAATGCTTGTTCCATGGTACGGACCCTGCACTGGAGTGATGTGGATGGCAGTAGCTCTGCCTACACTAGCGCGAGTGAGAGTAGAACCGCGATCACGGAACTCTTCTTCTTCTTCCTTACTCAGGTCAATCCCGATATCTTCTTCATCACTGTCAACGGTATCTGCTATCTTCTTCTGCGCTTCTAGAAGCTGTGCAGCAAGCTGCTGTCGTTCATGAAGTGCCTGCACAGACTGTCTCAGTAGCATTGACATGACAAGTCGGTTGTCAGCTGCCTGAATAGAGGCTTGTTGTAATCTCCTCGACATGTGCCCTATGATGGATTTCAAATGTTCAGTGCTGTCTGATTCATTGCTCCCGGGTGCTGTGCTCTCTGGCGCCACTGCTTCTGCTGATGGTGCAGGTACTTCTTCACTCTAAACAACACACAGAGGGAAAGAGATCAAGCCTTGTGCCATGCTTCATCCAGACTGATCAGCTGTGGTGGACAGTAGTATGATGGACAGTGCATCACCCAGTTTCACCCAGTTTGTTATCCAATAAAGGCAAACTTCTTAGCACAATGAAAAGTAATGCGTTCCACGGCCGTTGGTATATGCCCGTGTTTCTGAAAGCAAAGTGCCTTGTATGTTTCAAGAGAATAGGTATGGGAGCAATGTGTATCGGCCCTACCATTGGGAATAATGTCATCGTACATTAGGATTGATGTCAGTGTGTGCTCAGTATGATGTCACCGTATAATAGGAATGATGTCAGTGTGTTTGGTATGATGTCACCATAAAATAATTATTAGAAATGATGTCACTGTATGTTAGGTGAATGATGTCACGGCATCTGATCTAACCTGGGTCTGTTGCTTGGGTGTGTCCTTGCTATCAGCGTCTGCCTTACTTTCATCCACTGACATTGACGGTGCAGTAACCTTCAGACTGGGACGTAACTGCATCCCTTCTAGCTTTGATGCGATCAATGTCTCGTCAGTAACTTCCTGCTCATTGTCATCTTCATCATCAGAGCCCAGCTCCAGTTTTGAACGCACAATCTCGTGTTCCTTCTCTCTCATGCTAACTGATGCTGTCAGCTCACCAACACAAGCTGCAGTAACAATCAAGGAGAAGGTACAGACATAGGCACAGCAATGCATTGAGAAACACAATTAACCGGGTGGCGACCGGTCGAGTTGCACACAGGGCACTCATACTTTGGTTATCCGGACCCCGAAGTTACGGGCACTTCGGTCTACCGGGCGCCCTTTGGGCCAGTCACAAGTTCAGTGGAAATATTACTCTTTTGTCGCTGTTGTGGAAATAGTGACGTCACATGCCATATCTATGGCCTTTCTCCATCAAAATGTATGTGATTCGGAGTTACTGACATTTCAAAGTTACGGGTAGTGCCGGGTCTCGGACCGCCCGGATAAACGAGGTATGAGTGTATTGCAGGGCTGCCACACTTGGAGGGAGAAAAATCTGACGGGGGTCCGGGGGTGTCCCGCGGTGAATTTTTTTAGGAAAATGGCTTGCTGTTGGGGCCCCAGAACACATTTTTAACTGTCCACACACATGCAAGCACGCGTGCATTTTACAGCTACATGTACATGTACAATGACTGGCCAAACGCGACCTGGAAGCGCCGAATGTCCAACTGGACTAAAAAAAGCGCTCAAAATAAAAATAATCGGTTGTCCCTCTTTGGGAACAAAATCGGTCGGTTTGTCCAACAGGCGATCAAAAATCGGACGATTTCCGAAAATTCGGAGCAAATGGCAGCCCTGGTATTGCTAATCCATCATGAAAACAGAGCTACTCATTCAACTTGTGTAGCTTACCCACAGGTGAGCAGTCTCCTGCATCTAACAGTTCCAGTGGACCAACCTGCAGACTACCACTGGCAGAGGATACACTGTGTTGATTTCTACAAGCGGACAGAACATAGAGCAAAGCCAGGGCATACACAAGTTACATATATGACAAGACAGCAAAGAACACTGAACACAGTCTAATCCAGCCACTGTAACTGGTTAACTTCAAGTGCTTGGTTAGGAGCTTACCCACTAGCACACCTACACTCTACACACCACACTGTACAGTGCGCACAATCTGACTAAGTGGAAAATTGGTAAGAAGACGGCCTACCCATTACTATACTGCATCATAAATACACTATAATAATTATTATTATTATCACAGCACTAAGAATAGTCAGACATGCATACTATGGTCAGGACATGTACAGTCAGACCTCGCTTAGCCGCACACATCTGTTTTCCATTAGCCCCATCCCTCACACAAACAAGTCAACAAAGAGGCATCTTTGGATTGAGGAGTGCTGGTTTCGAAACAACTGGTTTGAAGCTCAAAGTAGAGCTGGTGTTAGCTCAGAGCAGAGCTGCTGTTAGCTCAGAGCAGAGCTGCTGTTAGCTCAAAGTAGAGCTGCTGTTAGCTCAAAGTAGAGCTGCGGTTAGCTCAAAGTAGAGCTGCGGTTAGCTCAAAGTAGAGCTGCTGTTAGCTCAAAGTAGAGCTGCGATTAGCTCAAAGTAGAGCTGCTGTTAGCTCAAAGTAGAGCTGCTGTTAGCTCAAAGTAGAGCTGCTGTTAGCTCAAGGTAGAGCTGCTGTTAGCTCAAAGTAGAGCTGCTGTTAGCTCAAAGTAGAGCTGCTGTTAGCTCAAAGTAGAGCTGCTGTTAGCTCAAAGTAGAGCTGCGGTTAGCTCAAAGTAGAGCTGCTGTTAGCTCAAAGTAGAGCTGCTGTTAGCTCAAAGTAGAGCTGCGGTTAGCTCAAAGTAGAGCTGCTGTTAGCTCAAAGTAGAGCTGCTGTTAGCTCAAAGTAGAGCTGCTGTTAGCTCAACGTAGAGCTGCAATGCTAAATGGATGTAATATAGCGCAAGGCAGAGCTGCAGCAAATAGCTAGATAACACCAGTTGTGAGAGTGGACCCGATTAGTGGGTATGATAATTATGATGGTGTGAATAAGTTGGATAGGGAGGGATGGTGGGAAAAGAAACACTGCTGAAGCACGATCCGTTGTCTGGAAGAGCACAACAGGGCAAGCAAGATTTGTTTTTCTTTTCCGCAAAATGGGCTGGTGCCATTTGTGATTACGCAGCAAAACAAAGCGCATGACGTCAGTCTTGAATGCAGTACAAAGCAATGCAGTGCAGTGTGTGCGCTAGTTCGGATTGTTGCTAACAAGTACTAGCACAGCTAGTACACCACAAAAAGATCCGGATAGGCGAGGGAACCTGATAATCGAACACACATACTGTATGTATGCATGACAAATGCTGTAAATCAGTAACCAACGATTTTCTTTCGGATGGCGAGGGATCCGGATAAAAGAGGACCGGATAAGCGAGGTCTGACTGTACACGTAATAGATGCATAGATATTGCATCGGTCCAAGCAAAAACATGTTATCAATTTATTGTGTACCCCCGGGCCAAGACCGTTCCTGAGAAATATCCTATGAGTATCTGCACATGTTTGGGTCAACACGATAGGCATACTTCTTACCTTAGTCTTAGACTCTTCATACACGCTGAAATCTGTACCTGTCCCAAATCCTCAGCATAATCTTCCAGCAGTCGTTCATCTGCCAAAGGCATGGACAAGCACTTGACGCCGATGTCAGTGCTCAGGACAACTTTAGCTAACTTGCGTAGGTCTAATGTGATAGCTAGTGCTAGCACTCGATGATACGCACCATAGTTACCTGTGCAATGAAGTGGCATGTGCACACAGTGATACATGCACATTATATATACATAATTATATATACATATTATATATACTTGGTCCGCGTCAGCAATATTGTCGCTTATCTTTCGACAATTTGAACTTAGACTTTGGACATGAACGCGTGCACTTGAAGTGATAAAACTTGGTACGATGGACGGTAAGGTATAGAATGACAACTAGCTGCGAGGAATTTATTGTCCAAGGAAGGGTTCCTACTTTTTTCGGTCCTCCTCGTCGCTGCTCTCCGGTCTGGCGACAAATATTTTTGCTCGGGATCGACTCTCTTGCTTTTGCAAGCTCATCTCTCTTCCTCTCCGCTGCCTGGCTATTTTCTAAAGAGAAGTCGATCGTGACGGTCGCCTTCTCTATTGGACTTCGCGTGGGCAGCACGACAGCCTGTGTGTTTCAAATCAGACGCCGTTCTTTGCAAGATTTTATTTTGAACGACGACGACGCGTACAGTACTTGCAAATCTCCACGACGCGCTGGATACTCTGAGCGTTGAGCTGGTAAGGGAGCTGCGATCTCAGCTTGATGAGCGATCCCTGAGGTGAGCGATCTCGGCCGTTCAGCAAAATGGAGCTGATTCCGAGTAGCCGATTACTTTCTTGTGGCTTGCGCTGCTCTTGCCTGCACAGCGCAAAAAGATAATCTATTTTGATGCGGCGCTGTATCAATCAGAATTACCCACCTGTCGCTCTCGAAATCCACTCGAACTCTAGCTAGACCTTTCAGGTACTAGCAAACTAACTTGCTAACCCAAATTGAGATGAAATGGGCTGCCAAGTAAGCATTGGCGACATATAAACAAAGCTGAAAGATAAGCGACAATATCGCTGACGCGGACCAAGTACATATTATATATACACCCAAACTATAGCACATGAACACATATATCCATACACACACACACACGCGCACACACACACACACGTGCGCACACACACACACACACACACACACACACACACACACAGTAGCACATGAACATGAGTACATAGTGAGTGGCGCAGCACATCATCATCGTATGGAAATCGAAACGGTAGTGCTTACTGTACCATGCACATACTGCCACCACCCCCCACCCCCCCCCCCCCCCCCCACACACACACACACAAACCCATAATTATACCGCACACACGAATACACAAGAATACACACACAAACCCATGCAAAAACACAGCAGTGCTCTTCTTACCCTCGCCTCTGTAAGTTGAAGATCCATCACCCTCATCGGACCCCCCTGCTGACCCAGGTGGCATGACACCAGAGAGTAGACCGCAGATGCTGCCCAACTGACTTTGCAAATCAATCATTTCACTTCCATTGGGTGGTGGCAGTACATCAGCATAGTAGTGGAATGGGATCTCACCCACAGTCTCCCGTGCAATGGTCACAAACACCGTCACCTGTTCTGCTGTGTTATGCGCTGCAGAAAGCAGTCAGTCAAAAGACAACAACAACAACAACAACAATGATGACGACGACGCTGACCACCACCACCACCAACACCACCACAGCAGCAGCAACAGCAACAGCAACAGCAACAGCAACAGCAACAGCAACAGCAACAACAACAACAACAACAACAACAACAACAACAACAACAACAACAACAACAACAACAACAACAACAACAACAACAACAACAACAACAACAACAACAACAACATCAACAACAACAACAACAACAACAACAACAACAACAACAACAACAACAACAACAACAACAACAACAACAACAACAACAACAACAACAACAACAACCACAACAACAACAACAACAACAACAACAACAACAACAACAACAACAACAACAACAACAACAACAACTGACGATGATGGTGTCAACAATAAACAAAGCAGGTACTGCATGAATTTCCACGCACTGGCAAATCAACGAGAATGGAGTTTGAAAGTATTTTACATATCGCATACAAGTGCATGTTGGTAGCAGCTCAGGACGATCTAAGCGGATACTGCTATTGGTCTAGATAACCATTCCCTGTTAGGCAGCAATATTTGTGCAGTTTCAACTTCATACTTGTACTTACTTCATACTTGTACTTACAAGTGGGATTTACACGGGACGCTTTACTTACGTGGAATTTGTGCAACGCAGATGAACGGATTGATCTTACTCGCTAAGACCGTTTCAATGATGTGCGAACCCTCTTGCCCTGATGGCGACACGAATGTCAGCTCCACATTCCCCTCCGGTAGGGACTGTGATGACGCATAGAAGAGAAGTAGCTCACCACCTCCCTGCACACGTAATCATGTATAAACGGATGGCAATACACACGTACAAGGATCAGTTGAAGAAAATCCCTTTCTACTCAGGGAGTCTTGCATCACACAATCACCAGGAGACTGATGCTGAACAGATCACACAGAGGACTCGGTATATCCGCAAAGACTCGGCAGTAACACCAATGACACCTTGGTGCATGAATAATCAGCACAATGGTGTGGTGATAGCTACAAAATGATGGCAATATGATGGGAAAGAACTGTGCCAGCAATATGATGGCAATCTGATGGGAAAGGACTGTGCCAGCAATATGATTGCATACGCAGACAACGACAACACAACCGGATATACGACTTGCAATCCCCTCAGAAGTGTAGCATACAAGCTGTGATGAACACGCAACCATGCATGCACTCGTGATTCGAGAAGAAGATACACTAGCGGGAGGAAGTGAGTTTCATGCATGATGTAATTTACCTGTAGCGGACTGCGGTTCGGAGAAAGATGCAAGTACTGATGACCTGAATGTATACACACAACAACAAATTCGAGTGCATCAACAAAGAGCAGCAAGGATGAAGGCAGAAGGACTGTGCAGTCAGATCATACTAAACTGAATCTACACTATGTGTACAGCGTGTACTTTGAAACTCGGATGTTAAGTCACTCTTAACTCGTATCCATATGTCCTTTTCCTTTCTAGTCTATGTGTCATAATGTATTGGTGTTCGGCATGTAAACCTGAGGTGAGTGAAGGATGCACAGGAATATCATACCATGTGGCCGACTTGCTGTTCTCGGTTCGACAAACGTAGGTGCTGCCGTGATGTTTGGGTCAACACTGTCAACTATGTCACGTAGACTAAATCCTCCACCACTTCCACCCATCTGTTGCTGCTGTTGTTGATTTACCACATTCTACAAACATGCACACAAAGATAGAGAGATGGGGAGAGGTGTGGGGGAGGGAGAGGGAGAGAGAGGGGAGGGAGAGCGAGCGAGAGAGAGAGAGAGAGAGAGAGAGAGAGAGAGAGAGAGAGAGAGAGAGAGAGAGAGAGAGAGAGAGACACACACACACACACACACACACGTACACAGAAACATGCACAAAACCACGCACGCACACAGCACCTTGTTCGCTTCTACAACACTACGAGGGAACAATGTGACAGAAAACCCTGCCTGGAAAATGTCCGTTTAGCTTCACCAATGGCCCTATATGGTTACCAATCAATTGTCCAGACATGCATGTATCATGCTACGGACTGCTCGCAAGTTCATGTATCCAGCTAAACTGATTCCCAGCAAGTTGCTTATCTAGCCTTCATTCCCTTCACTTTGAAGAGGAAATACGGCATACAACTGACAAGGAGACAACATTACAATGACTGAGTCGTATCCGATTACAATGAGCCGTGCTAGAATATCTCTTACCAGCCCATCATGTCCTGCCATAGTGCCAGAATCTAGAATGGACAAAAACACAAAACCAGCAGCAATATGATTGTTATGACTTTTGAAAATCGCCCATCAGTACAATCTTAGACAGTCACTATGGTCAACTTAACAACCGATGCCGGATCTATGAATCTCCATACGCTTTCACAATGGTCCACTTAACATAGGAGTTGTAGTTGTTACCAGCTAGTTTGCACATCACTCTCGGGAGCTAATATAGATTTCTATGTCGTCCAGCGGGCTGGAGGGGACGACCAAGACACACACTACCAACGCTACTACAAGATGATGCCAAGCGGATTGGACTTTCCTTGTCAAGCAAAGTCGATCTGGAGGCGTTCCGTGCCCTTGCTGCTGATCGAAGCGGTTGGGTGGACATCTGTGCCCGAGTGGTGTCGGCACCCTAGTTTTTGTCTTCTTTTCGCATATTTCTTCTTTTTCTGAAACTGTTGTGGTCTTTTGTATCTATTCGAAGTGGCTTATGCGAACATTTTTGGCTGGTTTGCATGATTTGCATGCCTGTTAATGCAGCTGCAGGCTATGCTGATGTCTACGCGAACAAGCACATAATAATGTCAGTGCATTGCCGTTCGACCCTAAATACGCTGGTAAGTCTGTCAAATCGCCAAGGCGACCGCTTTCTCATTCCCTCAGTTCATGCCTGAGTGCCAGTTTACTTCTCTCTCATTCAGCACCTATCATACAGACATCACCTATCATACAGACATCACCTATCATGCAGACATCACCTATCATACAGACATCACCTATCATACAGACATGCATGCATGTGGTTTATTCTACGTCGGTGAACAAACTATGTTCCAGCAGCAACACCAACACCATTATGAGCAGCAGCAACAGCAGCACTCTGAAGGTCAGAATGAAGGTCTTAAACACTGCAACACCAGTGGTCTAGGTCCAAAATGATTTTTCCCCTGGCTACATTGCCCGAAGCAGAGCATATCATACACTAAAGGAGCATATTCAACATGGATTTATCTGGAGGAAAGAAACACAGCAGTTGTGGTGAGGATATTGACGTACCGTCACCAGTGCAGCCACTGTACAAGGGTGATGGCGCAGTGGGATTGGGCGATACAGACTGAGGTTGATACGCTGCACAAGCAAGCACATCACACAAACAAAGTCATGAAAACAAAGCACGTAAGCACACACACACACACACACACACACACACACACACACACACACACAAACATACACACACAAGACCGGGGGAGCAAGTAGAGTGATTGGAAGAACTAGTGCCCAAAATGGCATTTACCACTGGGGTGACTGCAGACAAGCATGTATTAATAAATCATGCATTGGTGAAACCCGACGTGCACGTGGAGTCATACATTGCAGTGCTATACCTGGGGTGATTTTCAAGCTAACCAATACACATTTCTATCCCATACGTTCCTGGTTTTCACCCCGGAGCACATGCAAACAGGCAGCTAATACCTGTTCGATCACCAATGGCTAAGAACTTGCCTCTATGCTTTTATGTGAAAATGAAAACATAGTCTACACCAGGGGCGTAGCTCGTCCCCCTTTTAGGGGGGGGGGGGGGGTGCACGGCCGCATACCGGTATGTGTAGGATGGCTAGTGCATGTCATTCATGGTCATTATGTGCATACTGAACCTAGGTCGAAGTTTTTAGGGGGTGCACGTGCCCCCGTGCTCCTTTTGGGCTACGCACCTGTACAGGCAGCCTAGCATGTGCACCAGTGCCTGTTGTCTCTAACCCTCACACCCTGCACACCTACCTGACACATGGTTGTTGCCAAAGGAACTATTCGGTGAACCAGTTCCAATGGAGTAGGAGACATTGCTGCTTTCGGCAAACACTCCTTGCGAGTTGCTACTACTTCCCACTGAGTTAGGAGACTGACAAACACACACACACACAAACACACAAACACACAAACACACACACGCTTAAAACTAAAGTCAAGTCCCCGCCTCCCTTTTCTCTCCTTTCTCCGAGGACAAACGATGAAGTCGATTGCTAGCAAGACAACAGTGAGTGCATTGCAGTCACTGCCACAGCACATGTAGTGGCGTACAATAGATGCCGATTACATGTGTACATATACCTAGTCTAGGTAGACAACCATTTCAACCGGGTCGGAGCCGGGTACACATGTATTCGACGCGCGCCTCTGCATGATCTGTCACACATACAATGTACAAGCCATGTAGTCAGTCCTTTCAAAGTTCGAACGCGTAAAGTACCAACCGGGTCACAGGTGACCCGGTACTATATTTTCAACCAGGTCCATGCGCCGCCCAACCGGGTCGATTACCCGGCTCACCCGGCTCTGGAGCAGACACTGATGTACACATGTAATGCATCTACAGCCAGCTACCTACCTCACTTCTAGTATCCCGCACTGATCCAGCCAAACCTGATGTGCCTGTACGCATACCACACAGTGGAGGAGGTCATCAACAAGTGAAGATAATACAGCCACACGCATAATAAACATCGGCACAGCCTCACTGTAGGCAGTAGCTTCTGAAGAACCAAATGTATACAGTCCCAAAGTGCCTGTCAAATAAGCTCAAATGTACTGCAACAAGAGAAAAAAGTCAATTAAAAAAAGAACAATACTTTGTGCTGCTGTGACTTGCCATTGACAACCATAGACTGTGTTTGTAGAGCATTGCTGTTCAAGAGCATCTGTTGTTGTTGCTGCTGCTGCTGTTGCTGCTGCTGTAGTTGCTGTTGTTGTTGCTGCTGCAATAGCAACTTTTGCTGCATCACAAGCATCGGGAACTCCTGTTGTGTAGGGTGGGTAAGGTTGTCTTGCTTCTGTTGTGCATCAGAAAAGGCCTGGAACCGGCCACCGTCTGCTAGCATGGGTTCGGTGCCCGGCATTTGCTGCTGTGGTAGTAGCATGTTGTGAATTGTGGCATTCGGGTTCGGATAGAAATCCTGTAATACAGCACAGACAAGCAAAGACCTGTATGACTTCCATTTCAAACTAACATATTTAAACACACACACACACACAGCACTCCTACCACCCCCCCCCCCCCCCTCCCCCGCCCCTCTCTTCCTCCCCGTTTTTCTCACACTCATCATCTTATAAAAGGTCTACTCCGCTTTTTGGCATGTCCACTCCATACTCCGTTTTTCTTGTTCACCTTTAGTTTCGTTATTCCACCATGAAGATGGGCCATTCCTGAATACATTTGGTGAAAAAAGACTTTCCCACCACATAGATCATTTAGTGTGAGTGCTTAGACTGGTTAAAGTGAATTGTAAGGCCAAAACATACTTACAATTTCTGGACTGAGTGCACAATTGATCACCTCTGCGCAGATAGGATAGGGAAGGAAGGGGAGAGAGAAATAAAGAAAGAGAGATCAAGCGAAGCATTCGCACATATGCCAGTTTGGTAATGGCAATTGCACAGCTTCACCAGGCAACATTCAGCACACCAACATGAATAGCTGGTAACACATTGCCGCAGATTAAAATTTCTTTGTTGCAAAAAATCTAACCTTGCACCACTTTGGGTGGAATCTGGAACACACGCTTTATGTATTGGGTGCCTTCCTTTTCTGCCTCCGACTTGATTTCTTCCAGTCCTGGGAAAGCTCTTGGCAGTCCCTTCCGTAGCATACTGGTAGCGTCGCACTGATCAGAGATGCGGTCCTTGGCACCATACCACTGTTGAGCCACTTCTGGCCAATTGGTCAATTCAAACTTGCCTGCCGAGATATCCAGCCATCTAGAGAGAAAGTAAATGTGAAGGACATGCATAGCAGCAGCAACAACAGCAGAATCAGCAGCAACAATGAGAAAGCCTCGCGGCATTTTAGAAGCTGCGAAATGACCCGATCAATTTGACCAGTCACCACTATTTCAAACCACATGCATAATTATGTAATGTGTTGTGCTATGGCTTTGTGACAGCACTTTGTAGGCACATCCAAGAAGTGTTTCTGAATCATCAAGGACATTTCCTGCTTGTCCGGAAACCCTCGGCCGAAAAAAGAAAGTACAAAAAGTGTGATGACAGACCCAATGCACGTATCTGACTTTTGATGTGAGGTGGAGAGCTATGGGGAAAGGAAGTGCAGTCGACCTACCCTTATAACGATAACCTCTATAACGATATTACCCTTATAACGATATTTTTTTGTCCAACCAAATCACTCCATTGACTTTTGTATACAATGCCTTACCCTTATAACAATATTGCTATAATGATATTACCCCTAATACGATATAAAATGAGCTGACCACTCGGCATTTTTCCATTTTATAACAATATTTAGCAGGGAATATGTAGGCTCCACTATCCAAGTAGGGCAAGTTTCACTTGATAAGTCACTGAGACATGGCAAAATGCGATGGGGGCACCATTGATGCCTTGCTATGTACATAATATTTCATGTGCGCAAGTTTTTATGCTCTAAAGAGTGTAAAAAATGAACAAAAATCATGCATTATGACGTACATGTATGAAATGAACCAATACCCTTATAACAATATTACCCTTATAACAATATTTCTTGGTCTGACGCAAATATCGTTATAAGGGTAGGTCGACTGTATTGCATAACGATGGAGTCGACGAGCCCCAGGTTGGTAGTAACCCTGGGCATTCACAGGCGTTGTTCCAGCTTTAGAGTGCAGATATTACTATAATAAGGTATCACCTATGGGCGGGTTCAATATTCCACTTATCGTATGCTACCCTATGGCCACTTTGCTTGCTGTAACATTCAATTTATCGTCTTTGAACTTTGATCTCTCTGCTGGACATGTCACTATTGCTCATTTACTTGAGTCGAGCACGCCATGTGGCTGCAGGCTCAAGAAGGCCGCCATTGATTGGCAGTCTAAACGGTTACCCCCATCACATTATCATAGACTTATACTGTGTGAATGGTACAGTTCCAGTGTAAGTGTAAGTCATGTGTCTTACACTACAAGCAGTGCGAACCTGGCAACGAATACATGGACTAGGGTGGGCAGTACAATCACACACCTACACTCTGTATCACACTACAACAGGATGGCCTCCTCATGCAGTCCACGCATGTATAGAGTATACAGTGTACAGTGTACAGTGATGCATATGTAATCCCATACTGCCTCCGCTAACACCACGTACACCAGATACATGTAGAACTGTAGATACACTTGAAACACATACAGACACGATTACGCCACGGGTTTGGTTTCCTTGTGTCTTTGCCACATACAGACACGATTATGCCATGGGTTTGGTTTCATTGTGTCTTTGCCATGCACTCGTATTCTACACTAGCATCGCTTCTCAGTGAAAGTTGTGGTGCTGTTCTGCCTATCTTAGAAGTAGACTGTGGATACATTGTTCTTGCTGAGGCTGCCACGCTTACACCCACACGTGCCCCCCCCCCCCCCCACACACACACACACACTCTCCAACACACCCAGCACGCACGCACTTAGGGCCCGGTGTAATATGCCCGAAACTTTGCCGAAAATGCTTTCGGGAAATTCTCGCAAACCATGCCGAAAATGCTCCCAAACCTTGCCGAAAATGCTCGGAAAATGCTCACTCTTTTTGCAAGAATCGCTCTCTACAGTATCTTCATCTTCATCTCTGTCATCCGAAACACACTCAATAAGAGACTTGCTCGAGTCTGCCATGGTAAACAATTCATAAACTACTCAACAAGAAGCTGACCCACGGAATGCGGAAGTGACGTTCTTGTTTGGGAAGTTTTTCTTCTCTCAATTTTGATACACAACAGCCAAGTGCTCCGTTTCCCCCAAAATGCTGCATCACGAGCCCAAAGTGCTGGGTTCGCGGATTGTACCGAAAATGCTCAAAAAAATGCCGGCATATTACACGGGGGCCTACACGCACTCATGCACGCACGCACACACACACACACATGTGCACACATGTGCACACACACACACACACACACACACACACACACACACACACACATGTGCACACACACACACACACACACACACACACACACACACACACACACACATGTGCACACACACACACACACACACACACACACACACACACACACACACACACATGTACACGCACACTCGCACAAACAGAATGGAATGGTTCCTTTTTATGTTCCTGAGCACCAAGGTAGAGCGGTGGTTTTCCTTCTCAACTTTACCACCTGTATGCATAACTAGTTCCTGCACGGGTTGCAAGAACTGCTACAGCCTACAACAGATAATCTTAAACTGCTGGGCTGGAGGTCAGAGTGTTAGCGTCTACTCTAGTTTCTAGTGGCATTGGTATAGGGAATTGGAGACAGAAGAGAGCTTATGAAAGAAAATAGAGGCATTGTAGGACTGAGATAATGATAAGAAAGTGGCACCAAAATGAATACAGTGTCCATTTTCATTTTAAAAATAGAACATCTACAGTTTGTGTGTGAAACCCTTCAATTCAAGTCAATCAACTTTACTACATGCTGGAGATACATATACAATTGAATGCTTTCCCCAAGTTCAGTGCCATAAATACTGGACATTTCATGCTAAACCTGGAAAATGTCTGTTCTGCCCATGGTGCCAGTCAGGGAACAACTGCCTAGTGTCCCAAGAATAGAACAGCTGTCCTGCCCTGGTCAGCATAGCTATTGTATTGGCACACCCCACACAACATCAATCATCATCCTTGTCATTCACACTGAGTTACACCATAAGTTAATAGGTAGTGTGACCAGTGCTAGTGTGGGTGTGTAGCATGCAAGCCACAGCACAGCAGTCAGCAGCCCAGCTGGGTACATGGGTAGTGCCAGTGGGTACATACCAACACACAATGGCTCAGAACAAACTACACATTGTCATGAACAGCAAGGGGCATTCCAATCTCTGCACCATCACTCATCACTCATTGGCATGATCACAGCTAGCTTGAGCTTGACCTGAATGACAGCCCAGGCTACAGCCTTGTACAGGTGAGTACAGGCTACAGACTAGTAGTACAATCCAACAGTGCAGTGCGTGACAAACTTACTATTGTGTTACTACTACTACTAAAGTACTAGTACTAGTACATTTTATTTACAACTAATATATAGTAATAATAAAAGTCTATGAAAGTAAAGATATACTAGTTACTAGTTACTACTAGTAGTAGTACATGTAGTAAGTCGCCTTACCGTCCGTGTTTTCCAGCATAGAGTAGATCCACGATGAACTGGGCCATTCGAGCGCGTGGCCTCTGACTGGACCATGCTGCCCAGCCACGCTTCCACACATCGTCATTCAACGCTGGCAGTGGATTGAGTCCATTCGCAATTTCCTGCAGCGAGTTTCTCTCGTAGTTGACTTGTAAGCCTAGGAACAAAACACAATGTCATGCAGAAAACTTTTCGGACAAACACGCACCTCCTGTGAGTAGTGCAACGACGTGCAATCATCGCCTCACCTCGACGATAGGCCACGTGTGCTGTACCGGAGAGTTCCGCAGCAGATGCGTGACGGTTCTTTCTCGCCCTCAAAACTTCACATAATTCACTTGTCTTTGCCAGTTTAGTGTTTAGTGTTTACCTACCGGTGGACATATGATATCAGTTGCAGTATGCCCGTATGGTCTGCGTGGATGCATTGAAATACGGTCACGATAGTAACGAAGATAGACAAACACACGCGACACACAATGTTTATACCCATGTACTCAGCACAGTGCACACTCACCAAGTGGCTCTCGGGGCTGGTAGAGTGGCTGGTGAAATGGCTGAAGTCGTGCTTGTTGGATGTGAACTTGGCCAGCATCCATAAATCCACCACCGCCGTTGAACTGGAGCTGACTCATATCGACCGTTAGCTGCTGGTATGGCACCGGTGATCACAGTCACAAAGCCACGGCGCGGTGCCGATATCGCCTGGACCTTGCAAGATCCCTCACAACTAACTACTTACACAAGTAATGATTCTCACCGGAATGTCACAAATCCGATAGCGACCAAAATTCAGAAAGATACTCACACCTTCCAAACGCAAGTGGCAATACTCCGCTCCTATGATCCTTGCTACAGTACAGGGCAGCGCCTGCGTTTACACGTCCGACATTCTCATTGCGTGCCACCAGGGAATCACATAGTCATTGCTGATAAACAGCGCCTGGGTGCAAACTGGACACAGGTGACTTCCAGCAGAACCGCTGACCGTCGGAAACCAATGGAGTGCTGCGTGTGGCCGGTGGCCAAGGTAGGTAATTACTTTCTAAACTTCACACCAGCAGACGGCGACTCTATGATCAGCAAGAACTGACTGTGATGCAGTGAGCGCATGCAGGAGAGAAGATCGTAGCACGACAGGGGATTAGGATGGCGAAGAACACCAGCTGAGTAGGAAACGTACTTTCTCCGCAATCACTGACGATCTCTCACGTACAGCACAAGACAGGTTAGAGAGGTCGCACCCTAGAATTTATGTCAATGATTGTAGCCAGAAAAGGCTTGGCAGGGCAGTCTTCAGAAACAGCTACGGGAATTACCACAGGATTCACGCACGACTGACTCCTCTTCCTACAACCCCACAGGCCACACTGGTCACCTTGGTCACTGTGACGGGGAATCAGTGGTGTTGAAGAACAGCGCAGCTTCACTCCGGCCTGACCCACGCGGCTTGCAGATCTGCGCCGAAAACCCTTTTGCCGTTTTGGCCTCAGACTCGAGTCAGAGGCAGACTTCATATCACACAAGTCCCATGTGTGTGCGATTCCAGCGCAGTTGAACCGCGCGCTCTGAAGTCTGATCACACGCACTCAACTCTACTCTCTACAACATAGATCTACGTACAGTCATACAGTCATGTATGATGTAGGCAACGATCGACAGGACCATGCAGAACACGCTCAAAAATGCCTAGACATCTACGCTGTTTATCATGGTTATTGTTGAGTTGAACTGAGTGAATGAGTGCATGCATATGCGCGCACTTTACTTGTGCATGGACGCCACACTAAAGTCTAAACTCCACAGTACAGTCAACACTGCGGACACAGACAGTCGCGGATGTAGACCATTCTAGACTATTCAGGCATTCGTTGAAGTACCGTAGTTACTTGAAAAGTTGAAGCCAGGCCAGGGCCGATCAGAGCAAGGGGCCGGACAAAGTCAGATCCCCTACTGATTTCAGAAGTCCAGTGCCACTCACCTGCTCACGTGCAGACACAATGGTCTGCTTACCAAAACTTACAGTCAAGTAAGCTCAATCCGTAGAACGACGTGAAGACTCGAGTCCTATGCAGCATCGTAATTACAATGATTGTAATACAAATCCGTTGATCCCCGAGCTGCAGAGAGTGCTCAATGTCAGAGACAGAGCTTAGTACATAGCAGACTCAGCGGAGGACGTTCAGGTTGGTTGTAACTCTGAGTTTCATGCCGTCATCATCAGACAAAAATTTGTCTGATGATGAGACAACTTTTTGTCTGATGATTGCCTAACGGCATGAAACTCAGAGTTACAACCAACCAGTTACCTGAACGTCCTCCGCTGAGTCTGCTATGATTGCAATACCGTATTATCTCTAATATAAGCACGGTCCTTTATTTTTTCAATGTACCTCCGCCCCGTGCTATTAATGGAGACGTTCCTTTATTGGAGACTGTTCCATTATTGTTTCAACCTCATTTCAGAGGCATGTTGCCATGGCCAATTCATGTGTGACACACACATTTCAGGGTTTTTTTCGCCGGTACAGATAATGAATTTACACAGTGTGCTTATAATGGAGACTGAGCACTTTATTTTTTGAATGGCACCCCAGGGTGTTCTATTATTGGAGACGTGCTATTGGAGACTGTGCTTATATTAGAGATAATACGGTAGTCATGTATAATACGATGCTGCATTGGAGTCATTATCATGTAAATTGTGCGAAATTGACCATCCTGTACCTTGTACCTGTGCAAGGCTGTATGACCGCTTTTGCAGGAAGATTGGGACAGACCAAAAACTTCCAAAGCGGTCGATGATTGGTGTTTTAGTTGCGCTCTTGCCTGTATGCCTGTTCAGTGACGTGTAGTGGAAGAACAACATGTGATGTTGCTGTACTACAAGATCAAGAAAGCAATGCGATCGCGAGTGAAATGAGAAACAGGCGCAAGTGCTGTATGCCATAATCATGCGTATGCAAAAGCATGACTCTGTCCCTAGCGAAAGTTTGCAAGGACGGTACACCATGGTACACGTGGTCCTTATTCCCCCACGCATATCCATGATCACTTCTTTTGGCCTTGCCCAATCGACCCCACGCCCTGACACACTGCAATACCGCAGGACTAACAGTAGCAGGACGGTATGGATTCAGTCACTAGCTAGCCAGCGCGCTCTGCATGCTTTAGACGGTAAGCCCATACATCTACATGTACATAGGGGGATACTGGGCCAGTGGGTACAGCAGAAGTATCAGTCTCTTTTCGCAAGGAGGAAATTCTCCTTAGCCAGCGTTGAAGGGCTCAACACAATAATAACGTTTATGGAGCACGATTAGTACACAAAAAAGGCATAAAGGAGGCTTACAGAGTTTGTCGCAACTCCCAGCTACTTGCGATGACCTCTGTAACCTCCTTTGTGCCTTTTTCCGTCTTTTTTTTAATAGTTCGGGGAGTGCAAGAGCACAGCGGCACACATGTACATCAGGGGGTCGTACATGTATATACCCGACCTAGGGGTATATACACCGTACGACTCCCTCATGTACGTGTATCTTTGGTAACCAGTTTCCAGTGATACTCTTACCAGCTCATTTTCAAGCTATGGGTTGACCCAGCACAGCAGCAGGACACCACCTCCAACAGGACCTCATTTAAATAATTGCTGGCTTCTTGTCTATCCTTCTTTCTTCTAACTTTCTTTATTCTTTTCTTGCCGTGGTTGCTATCACCCCTCTCTCGCACTTTGCGTGCCAATTGGTCATGGACCACGAGTTGAGTGAAATAAAATTAAAAAAGGAAATCACACTCTCTTACTCTGTTGTCTGATGATTGGTAGTTTGCGAAACTCCGAGCTACAACACAGAAGACCATACCTTCCTTGCCTCTGTGTATTGCGGACTCCTGTGATATACCCATCCAGCTAACAACATGTACATGTTGCTGTTGTTGTTGGTGGTGGTGGTGGTGGACTTGGTGGTGGTGTGGTTGTTTTTTTTTGTCTCGGTACTCGCTTCGCATAATTATGCTGTATCATTATTTGTTGAGTAGGGTCCTCATTCCTTTCCACATTCTACTTCTCATGCAATTGTTTTCAGTATACGAGTTGTGCTTCAATCCTCCATTATGACAAATTGAGTTTTATTCGCCAGTAAAAGAGGCTTCTTGGAAGAAAATGATACGAGCAATGTACATGTGTACATACATGTGTACATGTATCTATCATAATTCTTCAAGAAGTACATGTATAGTAGTGTACAACTAAATTGGTTCGGCTAAGAGCTAAGAGCTAAGAGTGCATGGTGATGACTTGTTAAGAGTGTGGTAAAGTATATTGTACTTACATATACAAGAACACGATGTTTCACGCACAGTACGTGGCTGTGTTCTGCGGAACGGAAAGAAACAGTCAACGCCATGATCATGATAATAACATTTCGCTCAAAACATGCAACTCAAAGTCCAGGATAGTAGAAATATCATAGGGCAGAACGGGAGATAGAAAATGGTTGTGAAGTGTGAACACAGTCTAATGGCGGGGACCAGACGAACCTCCGTCTGGGCGAGGTCGACAAGCGCGAAGTCGAAATGACGACGGAGAACAAACGGCGCGTGATCCCCGGATAAAACGGAAGGCAGACCAGGCAAGCGAAAATGCCAGGCATCACAGCCAAGACACTAGGTCACGTGGCCACTAGGCTACGATACTACACTAGACTAGTACTACTAGTGTTCCTCTTGATGTCCAAGCAGGGCACCAGTCTCTTGATGAGCACAACCACTTCTTGGCCCATGCCACCATACTAAGACTAGTAAGAGCCTGAGAAGTAACATAGTTGAACACCAAGGGTGTGAAGGAGCCATGCTCAACTGCCATGATGATGTTCACCGTACGCTCGCTTCCTAATGTACATACTTCAAAAGAAGTACAATCATAATACATGTACATTGTACAACTCCTGTGGTACATTGTAGACTGTCTTTGACATGGATACCATCTTGAACAAATGCGATTGTGACCTACAATACCGTTTACCCGGGCATGTGGTTGATCCACCGGAAAGAGCATTGTTCATTCAAACTGTTTCCCACTGAGCTGATACGCGTTCCCATCCGCAGTGCTTGATATCGCAGCTAAACGGCATGAAGATACAATGTGAGAACCTTCCCAACTCCACTTCCTACTTCCTACTCTGCTTTCATGGCAACCAGGTCACTACACTACACTACTAGACTATTGTAGCGACTTGAAAACTCTTCAAAGGTTTTACGGTCGCTACAATAGTCAAACAAATTGATGTCAGATGGCTATTGTTATGACCAAAACGTTGAAGTACTTTTTTCCTGAAATGAATTAGTGAAAAGCAGTGATTGAGTCGAGCCTGAGCCAGTTTTGCTGACAACCCACTAGCACTAGTCTAGTCGTGAGAGATATTTGCTCAACTATTTGCTTGACAGGAGTGCCTGGTGCTCTCTGTGTGCATTGGAACTATGTGGCCGCGTGACATGTCAAGCAAGAGTAAATTTCCACAAAGCAATGAGGCGTCAAAAGCAGTCAAAGGATGATCTACTCCCACAGGCATCTAGAATGTCGAAGGACGCATTTTTGGTGGTACACTGAGCCCGACGCGAAATAGGAAAAGCTTGCCACCACGTACAATGTATACTTTCTACATCTATGTTGTAATGTCATTGCCCGGATACTCCATGATTCAAAGCTGCAGTGGTCAGACTCGTGCTGTGACTTTGCAATCTCCATGATCCAGTCCACTCCCGTCTTACAGTACATGATAAACACCCTACTGGTACAGTAGTTGCACTGTGTGGTCGTCTATTATCTACCGGTACTCCTTAGAAGACTGAACACTTGTCATTGGTGTTTTGCTTGATTTGTGACACATTGACACTTCAATCTCGACGAATAAGCTGGATATTGATGCAACATGAGTAGCTGGGGGACTAGAAGGGATGCATGACGTCCTTGGGTCGACATGTGTCATAGTGTACCCGTCATCTTGTTTCAGTGGCCTGTCAAGAATGTCACCAATGTCATTAGCTACAAATACAGTCATGTACTTGTGCATGTGTGTCCAAAGACGAAGGAGTAGTATTGGTATGGTACGAATGCTGGCACTAGAGCACTTTTCTCGTTGCCCATTCAGGGAGAGCCCGTGACTCACGGTGGGTGCGATGTAGCACATCATAGCATCACAAATTGCATGTACATGTACATGTATATAGCTGCTCCTTTGCAAACTTGCACACCATTGCATACCTGATGAGGGCAATTTTGCCGAAAAATTGTAAAAATTGTTTGAGAAATGAGTTCGAGTTTGCAGAGTGAATGGGAAGAGAGCGAGTCTGCTCTGAAACCTTTTTTTCCTATGAATGAAGCTGCAGGAAGCCTCACCACTGCTACTTACATGTACAATTTAGGTCTTATGTGTCTCCGAGGCTGCAGGAAGCTGTTCGGACGTCCCATAGTTCTGGAGGCTGGTGGTTTGTCTGCTGCACTGGCTGTGTCGGAGGCCCAAGTTCTATTTCACTGCTACGTGTTTTGAGGCGGTTTACTTATT